GCAGACCCGTGTTAGTGACTGGAATTTCAATCACGAGCATGATTAATTTCAAAATGCAACATTTTAATATATTTGTATGTAATGCTACCGACACAAATAATACATATTCTTAACCTTAAGTAATAAAATAAACTCGACTATTGGATAAATAGGAATTTTAACTTATAGATATAATGCGTATAAATAAACTAAAAACAAGTTAATTGTAGATTCGTGTAGCCCATAACTGGATAGCACGGTAAACAGACACATAGATTCTCAGTTAGCTGGATCTATCTTAAACTCCTGAAATTATACAAAATATAGAACAGCAATTGACCGTGCTACCGAGATACCAGAGCGGTTTAATTTGCCGCTTCGGTGATTTCAGACCCGAGTCAAAGGGTCGACCCGAGATGGGCGGTCTAAAGTAGAATTCAAATACAGTACAACAAACTCATATTTATTATTATATGGTAGCTCTGACCCGGGGCACGTGTATCACATCAATAAAGCAAATTTAAATTTCACATTTATATGATAAATAAAAAATACCAAAATGAGTACATACTCGGAATTGGAAACGCATACTTCTTAAATTACTATTGGCTACTTCGTTTTGAAGTTTCTTTATATGACACTATGAAAGGGACGCTCAGCTGCTTTACAGTTCCTCCTGCTGAATTCCGGCGAGAATGTAAATTATACGTTTTCGAAATGTTCACATAACGATAACACTGCTCTAGCAAACACACAAACCGAGACACACAGCTTTGGGTCTTTTCATTTGAATATAAACTCATGTACGTCAAGATAGAAGAAATTATCTGAATACGAGTCACGTGTAATCAAGACAAGTACAAGATACTCAGCGAAAACATTCATCCTATCCAGCTGACAAAGAGCGATTGCCACTATATAGGTTGGCGGCGTCTTGACGTCAATCACTCGATAAAATAATAATATTTATTCAATCGCAAAGAGAGGGCTTGTTATGAAGTGAAAACTTTCTGTTAAGTTTGGCGTTATTTAGATGCAATAATAACGACCCGAGGCCAAATCGTTTTATTGACACAGACATAATGATTTGATGTTATACTTACAAATCACAGTTCATTACCTTGTCAAAAAAAAAAAAAACACTTTAACATGAAGGGTTTGATAAAAACTTTATAGTGAAAGTAAGTTGTAAACATTCGGTAAACACTACTTTGCTTTCCTACACAATTATTTTTTTAAATATTAATATTCCAGAGCTGGTGAAAAGTTGTAAGGGTAAACAAATTTAAATTTAATATATAATGTAAATATATTTATCAATAAATGCAAACTAGTTTTTACTTTTTTTTCTCCGAAGACTACTATGTATTTCCTTGGTGTGGTCTATTACTATTTCTTTCTATGCCGTGGTCTTGTACGGATTTTAATCTCGAATAATAGATTTGTTATGAGTATATGTTATCTAGAGGATTGCACAGTAGAAACACAATTGCCGTTGAACTTTTCCAAATGTACAAAGACGGTGAAATGTAATTGAAATCGACTCGGCCGGAGGCGTTTTCCGGATGGAAGAGAAAATACAGTATACCCATATATCTGTGTAAAAGGCACTGCTGCAGAGGATCAAACGGCAGACGGCTGTTGTATTCTTTCTTTCTTTTTTTTTTTTTTTTGCGGCTGCCAAAGTAATCGAAACGCGTTTTCGGTAGGATTTCGGAAAGGCAAAGGGCCATATTTCACAGACTCCTTCGGTAGTCCGTCGGATTAAACGCCGCTGTTCGGGGTTATGGCTAATAAAAAATCGTTTTCGTTTGTCTGGAAGGAAAACAAACGACGGGCAACAATTGATTAAACGTTCATCCGACCACCGCGAGCACCGAATGATAAATAACACCGCTACAAAAACACTATGGCCACCGGCCGGTGCACTGCACTGTAATACACTGTTTGGTCTTATTATGTGTTATAATTGTATGTTTTACATACATGTAAGAATAATAAGGAAAACAGTCGATACCCGAAATCACAACGATTTATCATGTCTATAGTAAAACCCTATCGTTTGTTCGAATTTGTTGCCTTAGTTCTTTAGTTAATTTTTTTTTTTTTTTAATGAATTCAAAACTTATTCGAGTAAATTGCTAAGTGTGCTTCCGAGAAAAGAAAACGGCTCCAACGCGTTTGGCTTGATAAAGCAAGTGCCTTTAAAATGTTAAAATATATGCACAATAATAATTCAAGTGGTCGGTTCTCATCGTTCGTCGGCCTACTCCAGTTTAGCTACCAACACTGGAAATATGATTAAAAACTATCGATCTGAAGAATGAAATACTACCTACAGCTTTAATTTCCAAAGAGTAATTAAAAAACAATGAACGGCGGAATGTTTAATTAAAATACGACGGAAAGATATTTATTTAAACTTAAATTCTTGTTCTGAAGGAATGTACCCACTAAAAAATGTTAAGAGATATACCATCGAAAATGAAAGTACTTTTAAAATAAAAAATGTACCGCAGAAATACATAATTTAGCCAATTTCAATTATGTGCATAATTAAGCAAGGACGGAATGTTGTGTATGGAAAGAATGTTAACTATCATATCATTACAAAACCTCCTTATGACAAATTTCTACAATAACGAGTTATAGTTTATGAAAGATTACCAAATGTGTAGGCCGATTTTAAATTTAACAAAATTTGATTAACCGCGGGACAGTGGACACAATAGATCACTAATATAGCTATAACCAGCACATATAAAGTTCAAAAGTTTAGAATGTTATTGAATTGGTTTATGCCTATTTTTTTCTAATTGGTTACTAAGCGACCAAAAGAAAAAAAATTATATTGTTAACGAGAAAACTTAGAAGTATTAACGAAAAAACTTATTAACTTGACACAATATCATAAAAACATATAAAACTGTATAGAAAGTATAACACTGAAAACGAGAATAATTTACTTAAAAACATATATAATACCTCATAAAATATAGTTTAAGTAAATTGCCATCAAAAGTTTGTAAAATAGTTTTTAATTGACTTGTACACGATAAAAAACCGTAATTCGTGTATTTTGCGGTATAATAAATATAATATTATTACATAATGAAAGTATATTATACATTATATAATTTATATATGTTTATTTAATTATATGTTACATAATTTGCATAGTGTTATGAAGAAAATCGTGTATTAAAACTTTGACCATTAACGATTTTTAATTTCTTTTGATAAAGTAACATCATAAAATAAATTATTAAACCTTTTATTTAATTGTCAAATTAGCCAGATCTCGAGATTGTAGATACGTTTATGTTGATTTATAGGTATGCACTGAATAAAAACACTAGCAAATATAAATAAAAAAGACACTAATAGGATTGCATAAATGGAAATAAATTAGCGAATCGACTTTTTATTACATTGATTTACTAACTAATCGATTTGTCGTTGATCAATTATCCGCGATGACATTGATAAATAATAAGAGCTAAAAGGGATTGTATTTTGAACATTTATCTTTCCTGGCAAGAACAGTATTATGAGATTATGGGCTGTCGGCTATCAATAATATTTTGTCGAAATATTGATGTATATGTATATACATTTGAAATGTATCCATTTTCCATGTTTCATTTTTCCTCAGGCCGGTCGGTACACAGCTTCTCTGCGCTACAATAGGATAATACGATTAAACCCATACACGGTAGGTATAGATATATTAAAAGACGTTTGTGCGCTTGAACAACTTTGCGCCAACTCAACCGGATAACGCTTACTTGCGCGACATAGACGTAGAGAAGAAAATAAATGCCCAAGTAAATAGTAGTCGAATAAAATAATATATATATATATGATAACATAGTATGTCTATAGACGTGCCGAGTGCGCATTTATATAGTTTGTTTAGGTCGACACGAATCGACGGGCAAGTACCGATTATAGGCCATGAAAATAAAGCGGCTGCACTCGAACACAACAACAACTAAACGGTATGAAAAGAAAACAAATCGAATGAATCATACCGACTTTGGCCGGATTATTCAACATAATTAGATACTTAACGAAAGGGGTAAACGCGTTAGGGTCATATACAATAATTATGGCGTTGGGATTTGACGGTAAGTATCTCCCCCCAAAAATTACTCGCAAACCCCCCTATGCCGATATAAATCTTTTTAACCGCCCGGATTTAATCACATGGAATACAATTTTATGTAATGCATTTTTTTTATGTATTTAATAAAATCCAACAAAATGTACGAGTACTATTTTTACAGAAGAAACCGACTAGCAGACCTATTATAAAAGCCGGTTGTACATGTTTTAATGATATCGCCCACAGCTAGGTCGTTAAGAGAGAGAACGTTTGGTAAAAAAAAAAAATTCCCTAATTTTATCATTGATCTAGAGTATAATGGGCATTAATCGTCGTTTCCACGTGGGACGGGACGTTGTATTAACTGTTATCGTCGAATATAAATTAATAAAACTTAAAACTCGTTGGTTTTAAGCTTGTATTTCAAGTCACTATATCGCGCATATTCGGAGACGTAACGGATTTAATTAAATTAAAATTCCCTTCAAATCGAGCGGCTTGTTGTGTATTTATGTAGATTAATCAATTGTTGTTGTTTTGGAGTGACGTCGTTTGGCGGACGAGCCCCACGTGCCGGACGACCGGACGCGAAGGGGTGGAAAAGTAGTACTCTCTCAGGGCTTCTCATCGCCGCCGTCTACATCCCCCCAAGACCGTCCGGATTTCCTCACTCGGCTTAACGCATTACCGGCTTTGCCCGGCAGCTCTCGTCGTACTGATATATTATTGTTATTAAAACGCAGACTAGATTACCGTTATGGTGTTGATTTCGAGTGACCATAACCACAACGGTACCCAAAACATTGGCGACATTCCTTCGAACAATTTACCACGGTCACGCCCGGGATACTCTATACTGGTTGAATAAGAGAAATTCGGGGGGGGGGGGGTAATAAATGTACATATTGCATACCTGAAGTTCGGGCGAACCCCCTTCGTCACGGATCAACAGCAAGTGACTGTGGCCGTCTACGGATATCTCTTTCTTGAACCGACCGCCTTCGGGACTCTCCTCTTGCATGTAAGATCCCGTCAGGTATCTGTGGACCAGAGCCGATTTGCCGGACGACAGGGATCCAACTATGCCCAATCGCAGGTCCGGCACCGTCCTGGACAGCGTCCATTCTTGGCTGTTGACGAACGAATCTGTAAAAAAAAAAAATTGTTTATAGGTTAATATACAAAGCATTTGTTGTTGGTTAAAATTAATTTCGAAGACGAAAAGCTAACAGAACATGTTGTGTACAATATCAACAATTTATAGGAATTTATTTTGTTTTTATGCAAAACTCGAGTCGATTAGAACGTAGAACTCGGGCGGACAATCGGCGGAAGGTCAACCGACCAAGTTCAGCGTTCTACTACCCACTGTTATATGCCACACAAGTTGATTTGACAGCAATCACAAAACAACAAAAAGCTAAATGTTTAAATCGGCCGAGAGCTAATTTAACAGCGTTAGTTGGTCTATTTTCTTTTCATTATATTTGTTGTTGCACCCACGTCGTGTAAAAAATGAGCTAATCAATCATTCGTGAGGTTTCGATTACCAGCGTGCACCTGTCGCTTTTCATAGGATATCTGAATAAGATATAATATATACAAAGCCTTCGTACACAACAACACAATATTGTGTACATAATGCATTTTTCCTATATACCTTGACGCACTTCAGCTACATTTCACCGGCCCGTGTGTAGTAGTATAGAACATAAATACCTTGTAAAAGGATTATATATAATATTATATAGAAATGTACACCCTAATAATACACTCTGATCCGCAAAGCGTGCGTTCGGTGTATTTTCAAAGGACTAAAAGGATTTCGGTCGTTAAAATTGAAAAACTAATCTCAAACACGAACCGGCGTTTCCGGGTAATTAGCGTAATGAAAACGGTATTGAAATTAAACTACTCGAGAACATAATGAGAATAAACGTATGTAGGTACACTGTTAAAGAAGTGTCGGTATGGTATAAGCAAGAAACAATAATATTTACTCATTATTTTTTTCGCATTTTTTTTTTTTTTGGTCTCGTTTGGCCGACACTTAACAATATATATGGCTGAGGGCAAATTTTAAGTTTGTCTTATTTTTTTTTTTTTTTGAAATCACCTTGTAGTTAAAATGAATTCCGAAATCAAACGACCGTCGAACCGCCGCGTTTAAGCCGGAGGAAGTCATTAACGTTTGAGTGTGCGGGCGTGCGAAGACATTATGATGCGAGCGCACGTCTCATTTTTTCTTCTATATTATATTATATTTTATAGTTTGTACAAAGATAATGGAAAAAAACACCCAGAAAAAGACGGACCGAGAGCATATTATATTAGATTTTTCTTGTTATATTCGCGCGTCGCCACCGGTAAGACAAAAGGAAATGTGCGCGCACTGCTATTGTGTTTAAAAAATGGTACTTGTTTTATTATTGAAAAAAAACCACACAGTAATGCCTCTTCTCTCCGGCCAACCGGTTTCTCGAAAATCGTTTATGCCAAAGCGTCGTATATCGCTCCGTCGACCCAAAGACAATCGGCAGCGAGCGGCTAACAACAACACGATGACAATACCGAATGCCTCTGGACGGCCGTGCTATGTAACATTATGTAAATGTAGCAGTAAAACATCCAGAAGACCCACTCGAACCATAGCAGTACAAATCTGTACAATAGGCGATTTGTGAGCGATCTCCTCCTTAATGGGTTAAGTAAATATTAAAAAAAAATCACTTTTCCTGTCTAACCGCCGATCATAGAAAATTGAATGAACTTTTAAAACTCAAAGATGTGACAATCCACCCACTCGTACAGTAATTTCACCGCAGTTTTTATAATATCCCATTCGCAATAAATCGAAAACTGTTGTCATCGAACCGATTATAATATATTGTTTAACAATTGTAAAACTTACGAGAAACTGTATTAAAATAGTGTTGGACATAAATTCACACGGTAATATTATGTCTAACTAATAAAATTATTTCAGTTAAAAAGAATATATGATACATTATATTGTATGGATTACTCTTTGATCTTCTTAGATTATAATGTTATGCTGGAGTTGGTTGGTACGTTGCCCCGGAAGGTTGTGCATAACCTCAGAAAACGGACAAAGAAGCGTCAGGCGTTGAAAATTATTATGTGTCAATATTATTATTATGCACGGGTCATGCTCCAAGGGAAGGTCTTCTGCTATTAACAGTTAACCGTCCTGTGTGCCGTAGCCTTTATGCCTTTGGCCCGAGATATTTTATATCATGCTTGACTGTCTCCCTAAAGGCACCTGGACGTGATCGTCGCATAGATCGATCGGCAGAGGGTACAACAACGTCATATTACTTGCGAGGAGTAGTTAATCAATCGAAAACTATAAACCTTTTGTAAAAAAAAAAAACAAAATATTACCGCATTGTATTTTTTTTTCTTTTGGTCGGCAAATACGACGAACGTTCACATTTTTTTTTAAATATATATATTTTTTTAAACAGTTCTTCCCGCGTTACACAATATAATTATCATTATTGTCGGAGGTCATTTTTTCCCACACGTTTAAAAACGTATATCATGTGCCCGTAAAATATATATATTATATATACATGCAAAACGTATTAGGTGACAGCTGTGTCTGTGTGTGTGTAAGTATGGTTTCTGTGGTGGGCAAACACCGCAGTTTACAGCAGTGGTAAAAGTGTCTGGTAAGCGGCGGCGACCACGGCGTCCCCTCGAACACATTATTTAGGTATTATTGTAATACTTAGAGAGAGAGACCTTATGGAAACGGAGGGACAAGGCGTATAACGATTATTATTGTCTAATGTGTAATACAAGCAGACTATAGAAAGGGAAAATTCCAGAAAATTGTCAACCGTAGTGTATAAGACACGTGAGGTTTCTGGTTGCGTTTAGATAAAAGCTTTATACATTATAATATGTTACGTTACAATGTGCTGTTTAACTTGGGTTTGTGTTATTATATTGTTATGAATTATGATTTTCTCGCACCGCAGTCAATTCCCCTAAGTGAACAGGCCAACCACCCCCGGTGGCGCCAAGTAAGTTTATTAATAATTTAGACGGCTACCGTTCGAGTTACTTAGGTGTAATTTTGCCGCCAAACGATACACGCCAAGTGCATGTAATATTGGTTTGACACGAAGACGTTCCGAATAACTGTTTTTTGCGCGGTTTTCATGGAAATATGGTTTCAAATTACTAAACGCGGCCCAGTTATATATTATTTCAACGACTCGTATGTCATAACATAGTACATTGCGTGCTGATGGCTCTTCCGCAATAATCGTGTAATTAGTTAAAAACGACAAATATTTGGAATACAGTACTTACTTAACGTCTAGCAGTCCATGTATATGTTAACGCCGTTAGCGCTTTTCTAACCGCAAATCTAGTAATATTATTAAATCGTTTACATTTTTGCAGTACTTGCGAGATATTCAACCCATTGGGATAACTATTAAAACGAGATGAAAATCGTACCCCTCCTCCCTTTTTATTTTGAGCAAACGTTAAAGAGGTGATTACGCACTTAAGACGAATAGTAAGTATAAGTAAATAAATAAAACAGGAGAAGCGCGCATAAAAAAAAAAAGAAAACTAATGTGCTTAAATCCGAATGGCGTTTGCAATGGACTATAAACGGCTATATACATGCCGTTGCAGTTTGCAATGCTCCAAAACGAGCATCGTAAAAACGCAGTCAACTATGTATTGTGTATAATATAGAATACTAATAGTCGATACAACACGGCCACCATTACCGGCATCGATTGACCGGCTGTACTTAACGATTCGGAAAACGGTTCAAGGCCCTGAGTACTGGTCGGCATTTGGAAGAGAACGGGGGAAACTCGTGTCATAGATATTTTAATGTTTGCGCTCGAGTATGAAGAACAGCCCTGGAAAGTAGAATGGAGTTACCCGGCGATAAAGTGTAACATTTTCGGCGTTTTATATAGTTTAACGTATAGAGCAAACACACACACATAAGGCGGTTGACATAATATTTATAGGAAATTAATATTAAAATAATAATCGTCTTTGGGTCAGGTAAACGGCGGTAGTTTTAATTTGCCAAGAGTCGTGTGCATTCAAATTTCGAAAGGTCTACATGCGGTGAGACTTACCCGGCCACACAACCTTAAGAGGGCGAGTGGAGGGAGAGCTTGTCGTTCGAGGGGATCCAGTCGGTCGCCTCGGGGTATACCGTGACCCTTTCTGTGTACGCTTTCCCCGCCCCTTGCTCTTGGCGACCGCCGACGCCGAATGACGTTTTCATTGGCTTTTCGTCTGCCGCCACAGCCGTCGATGAGTCACCCACTCGGAAATAGGGGAAGAATCCGTGCCTTTTGTTTGCCGTGGCTTTTATGAAAACGAGACGTGTGTTTTAAAATGTTTGCAATTAGTCGCATACGTATATAAAATCGAAAAACAGCACAAAAATTGTACCTCCAAAAATTCCATATAAAATTGTCAAATCAGAGGGACACACATCCATCCTGTTTATCGATAAAAATGTACCAAATGTCTGATAATGGACGAAACTGATACTTTATAATCTATACCTAACATAGGGTTCGGTCCAAAAAAGAAATTATACATTATGAATATGTAGGTTTTGTGAAATGGTAAATATTTCATGAAGAGCGTAGTTTTAGTGATTAGCATAATACATACACACGTGTATCAGGTAAAATTGCGAAACGTGACATTGTGATTTCACTTAAATACTTGTAAATCTAAGAAAGTGAATAAATAATATTTGACTTCAGTTAAAAGGTCCCTCATTACACATATGTCGTCCTTCTGATTTCTGATTTTTTTTTTTTACGAAAAACGTCATCTATATTTTGCGAACGAAAACTTACAACGTGCGGTGTCGAAAACAAAACCGAATAATTACTTATATTGGCGTTAATTATTATAAGAATGTTGTTGTTTTCGTTTTGAAACAATACAGTTTTTTTTTTGCAAATTAGCCCAAGCATTGTACCGTCTAGTCGGTCTCACATGATAATGTAATACATATATTATGATAATGTGGACGCTTGGCAATTCGCAGGCGCCATTAATTATTCGTTGAAAAACGGCCAAAAAGAAAAAAGAACTCATGCGACCAATTCATTACAGCA